ACACACTCGATATCTATTCAACATTTGGCCATGCTTCCAGAGACCGCTTGCGATCAGCTCAACGCGTACAATATACGAACAGTGGATAAAATCTTCAATCAATTCAGACTAGTCTATAATGTTGAGAATTTCAACTGACTTATGTGATAGACGTATGAATATCATCAGAGCATGAATTCTAATGTGTTACTTAATTTTATATCCATAGTGCATGTATGAATTAAGGTCGTGCTACGTTTGCGCTAATAGCGTGACTGAACGATTTACAAGTCAGCAAAATGGGTGTGGAGAATATAACAATTACAGAAAGACCCTGAATTCGTATTATAATTTTCATATGAAACTGCCAAACTATAATTTAGGTTACAGGTGATGATCGTATTTTAATTTCGCAAGTTACTAAAACGAAAAAAGCATCAAACGGAGCCTTTTCAGTGGTCATAATCACAGCCTCGATATTCTCTAGCAATAATACCGCAATAGTTTACTTTGAGTGTATTACGTGTAACTCAATGATCCCTCGGGGGTTAAATATAATATATATAAGATAAGATATATATAAGATATATAAGTCGCTCGGCAACTTATATCTAAGACGCGGAGCGGTAAAACATCTAGTTCACCCAGTCAACGAAAGTAACTTCAATTGAAAGTGAAAAAAGTATTGATGTTTGACTCTAAGAATAAACTAGGAGGAGCAATTGGAATTTCATCATACGTGTGAACATTAATTAGTCGCAAACCCATGTTTGACTGTTGACTCGTCTCAAAATTTATAAACCAAATAAGTTATGGATATTGGATTCCATTAAGCGCAGACAAGAAAGTCTAAAAACTTACGCCTTGTGAGCTTTTCTTCTTTTTGAGGTAAGATTTCCTTGACATGTGCCAGTCTCCTACGACTATGTCTGCTAGTGCTTTTATGAACGCGCTGAACAAACATCTCACCACGTATGCCGATATAATAGAAAAGTGTTGGAATTGGAGCTTCCATTACTGTTAAACTTCTAAGTTCTTATACAAATCTTATACTATTTATTGTGTTATTGGAATTTTCTTGCTACAGCCCAATAATCCTTTTGTGAGCATTTCTTTCAGATTTACTGCTTTCTCGTGATTCATTAGCGGTTTGATTTACTTATTTGTCGATTCCTTCGAAAGTTGTCACTACCAGGATGCACAATACACACATGCACACTTATTCGTTTTAAATTTTATTTCACTCAATTGATTGTTCCTGCATAAGACGGTAAAAACTGTCAACATTTTTTCATGTAAATATGGTTTCCTGGTACAACTGGACAAACCTTCAAGTTTAACCGTACTTTTCTTGGATTAGCAAAGGAGAAGGATAAATAAATCCGGCTGATCTTCCAGAACTTTCTTGTAACTTACGCCATCAGACAACATTGCGAATAACGATATGCTATGCGGATAATAGCAATTTTTAGAAGACTTTTGCGGGTCAATTCGAAGCCCCGAAAATGGCTGAGCTAGACAAGCTCGCTCAACTGGCAAGGTCAGCATTGCAGACTTCAGTGCGAGATTCTTGACATACGCGCAGTGAAGTGAAGCGGATCTCGAGCGCTGAACGCAACGAACGTCTTTAATTTCAGCTTTAGTTCTCTTCTGAATGATCAAAACAAGTGCAGCTCCAGACCTCAGAACCGATGAACGTTCTTCCTAATGCTATTCCCAATTGATTTACGCCAACTAGCGATCTATAATGATTTTGGCCCATTGGTTGAAATGAATCTTTGTTTATCAATTCCGGAAAATATCTCAAGGAAAAATGAAGTAAAAAGAATTCCTTTTGTAATGCTATTCGTACCAGAGTAGGAAGTTAACACGTTATCGACTACGATAAGTAAAAATTCGAATTGTTATAATGATATTTCCACCTGAATAAAAACTGGTCCTACTCTACTAATTTAATACCTGAATATATATCAACTGAATTTATTCACATGCTATCTTTCAAATTGACTTAGTGTTCTTGAGTATGTAGAACATGTACTGCAGCACGAGCAATTTCGCATGGTCAGGAAATGGGGTGAACAAATTTGGAAGAGGAATGATGCGATAATTGGGAACGCATCTCAAATGGGAATAGTAATATTCTGAGAAGTAAATGAAACGATAAGAAAGCACGAAGCATCGACAGTGTAAAATACTAGAGTTCAGTATAAAAATTATGAAAAGCGCGTGAAAAGTTTGCATGTTTAAAAATGTCAATATGCAGAGTGAGCGAATGAATAGAAAAACGAACTAAAATAACACGGTCAATTAATGAAAACGAATTACAAGTTATGAACGGAAAAAAGTAAAAGAAGATACAGCATGCAACACAATTCAAAACAAAGAAGCGATAGTATAAATATCATAGGACCAGAAACACCAACATGCAGAGAGCAGGAGTAAGGTCGTTTCAGGATATGATAGGCAAGATGTTAAGCGCCATGCGTATTGCAGTCGGAGGTCAGACATCATTTTCATGTCAACTAACAGCGTAAACATTACCTCCGTCAGTAGCAGGTTGCTTACGAGTTTAGATTTGTTTCAGTTGGATAAACTTCAAGTAGCGAGCTATTCAGCTCATTTTTCAGATAAACCCAAGTAGCTATTGACTTCATTGTTGTTCAGTTGGATAACCTAAGTAGCGAGATCATTATCAAGTTCATTGTTGAGTTGGATACACCCAACACTAACAAAATTTGGGGTATAATTCAGCCTCCGCGGCAGACTCGCCATAATTGGGTTAGAGCTATTCTGGGTGTGCTTAGCCACTGGATCGAAATCAGTGACTAGTTAGAATCGCCTTGCCGACTTTATAGTAGTCTCCTGATAGTTGTCTTGGCCAAGCCTACCGCGCCTGCAAGCCGCCCAGAGAGTGCACTTCAAACCTCGAACGGAAGGCAGTGGGCAGAAACCTCCATGCAGAAGGCAGTGGGCAGAAACCTATTCATGTACGAGCTTGTCAGCATCAGCAAAACTATATAAGCGAGGAGGAAACCCAAAAATTCGTGGAAAAACAACAGTTCGAAAAAACGATCAAAGTCATAAGGTTTATCTTCATACATATGCTTTAGCTAGGTCGATACACTTCAGTGAATGGTGAAACCAAGAAGTCCATCTGTGTGAAATAGCATGCGATTTGAACCATGTTTTCACAGCTTTTTTTTCCCGCTTCATTTGCTAGAAACTGGTACCTTTCCATGCTTTTTTGAGGTTTGGAAATAAAAAACGTCGGAGAGGGCTTAGTCGGCTATAAGGTGGATGCTAAATGATTTCCCATAGAAATTCGAGTAGCATATAAGCTCTTGTATGCAAGCGCCATACGCGGGTGCATTGTCGTGGTGGAGGAGTGCGTCGTCGTTCAATTTTTCGTCCATTTTTCAATGCTTTGGTATATATCGATTTGGAAACTTTCATCATAGCAGAGATTATGCAACACTGTTATTGTTCGGTTCACAATAAGTTAATTCTCGATAACTTCTTGCAGTTTCTTCGCTTGTGAGGGAAAAATGTTTTTTCCACGAGCATTATTACCCACTATTCTGAATTTTTCAAGTATCCTCTTTGTATTCAGTGAGTTACAGAAACAGGAAGGCAATTTTTTTCATTGGTTGGTTCGGCCAGAGCTGCCCCGGATACGGGGACGAACCTCATAAGAACCGCTCAGCGGTCGCCATAGCCGGGACCAGACTCTCGTAGCTGTGTGACTTGGGTTCGGAAAGTTGACCGAAAAGCGGACATAGAGAAGCTGATTTGCTTGCTGCCCCGGATACGGGGACGAACCTCATAAGAACCGCTCAGCGGTCGCCATAGCCGGGACCAGACTCTCGTAGCTGTGTGACTTGGGATCGGAAAGTTGACCGAAAAGCGGACATAGAGAAGCTGATTTGCTTGCTCCCAGAGTCTAGGCATTCTCTATTTCAGAGTCACGCCCGGCTCTAAATTTTGTTAGGGAAGCAGCGAGGTATTAAGTTCATTGTTCAGTTGGATACACCTTAAGTAGCCAGGCAACCAGCTTTAGCACAAGGAAGCTAAAATCCGTTTCAGATTCATCCACTCTTCGCGTCCAAGAATTTTTCGAGGAGGCATTAAACTCTAGGATGTTGTTTGTCCTATCCATAGACACGAAAAAAGAATTTCCAAAGAGATACATCCAATGATGACCATTGACCAATTACTATAAAATAACGGGTAAAGGCAAAGCTTGATAAGCTGTGGTTGATAAGCTAATAATAGCGAGGGAAAACGAGCGCCAGTCAATGAGGGGAGACCCGAGGGTCGTGAGCAGGTCGATGGCGAGGCGCCACAGTTGCCCGTCAGGAAGAAGCTTCCGTTGACCCTCGACTAATTTAGTTTATTCAGTTTACTGTATAATTATTTTGTTAATCAATTGTTTCTAAATGCTGAAGGCTTCTTCTTGCTATCTTCAAATTGATCCATCTTATTTATTTTCTTGGCGCTATTCCTACTCAACGATTACTTTTCATTGTTTTTAATTTTACCCCCTAACCAATTTTTGGTTGATGTACAACTTGTCTTTTCTACCCCCCTTTTTTTATTTGTAACCAATTTATACCTCTCAACATTATTCAGTAAATTTTCCTATTTGTTAAATTTACTCCCATACTGTTCCAATTTTGAGTCTCATTCAAATCTCGATTCCTTTCATTGCAGTGCAGAGTTATCTATTGCTAATGCTACTCAGATTTGTCTGCTCTACACTGTAATTGGTTTCCTTGCTCCGTTGAATTATTTAATAATGTTTTCATTCTTTTCGTTTTTCTTCGCTTGTTGCTACTCAGGTTCATTTTGTTTTTCAATTCAAAACAGACTTCAATTGAACCTATTCTTCAATTTGTCAATTAATAATTTAAATAAAGGGCAGAGTTATCACTAGAACAATAAGCGTTCAAGTAGTTTTAACTTATACTAACTGTTAACAAAAATGTAACAAGCTAAGCCGGGGGCCGCCAATTGAGACTCACCAGTTGAGATACAGATGCATGAAGTGTCGACAAGTGAAGTACTCCAGAGGACCTCAATTTTTTCCGATTGAATTTCGTAATATCTTGTTCACTTTTCACAAGCTTGCAGTTAAAACTTTGAAATTCACACGAGATATTGCCAAGAGATTCGTATTTACTTCAAATATTCACGTATGAATGTTTAATTCATAACTAACTATAGTTGTGTCGGGAAGTTTGTGTTCAATGAGGTTTCAGCTTGCGCCCGTAGTCTATTCAATTTCCGTCTACACTGATTACTACTATTATTTTACTATCATTTGCACTCTTGACATCATAAGTGTTATAATCCACCGGAGA